GCCTATGTGGATGTCTTGATTGATTGGGTCAGATGAGATGCTAACTTTCTGGACATATGCTCAGGGAAACATCGAGCATGCTTTTCCTTTGTGCATTGGTAGATATAAGACAGAGTGAGAAGTTCACTGTGGAGAGACTATTTCCATAGGTATAAAGATATGTTGTACGCAAATTGATGGACATAAGGTTTGAATCCTAGGTATCATTCGTGATATATCGTTCATGGGATAGATGCTCATCTTAAAGAATCCGTCCAAGCAGCGCTAGCCGTGCATCCATCCTCCATCCTGGAGTAGGTCTGACATCGGTGTCTCCTGCCAGTAAATCTGGCGCCATTCATCTTCTAGCTCCGGGAGTCCGTCCATGCTCATCGGCAGTACAGACTGGTCCGGATCCGTGAAGGAGAACAGCTGGCGCCAGTCCAGGAATTCCCTTGGCTGATCCATCGGATCGACAGTTGCCAGGTTCGTGGATGGGATCCAGCTGTCAAAGGGCTGGTTCTGGTGCGGGGAGACAGCGGTTGGGGGTAGAGACGTGGAGTTCGGGGTGGGGACATCGTAGGAGGAAGGGAGGGGCCGATCCGGCTGTGAGGGCCGTAGAGGTGTGTCGGTTGAAGTGTGTTGATTCTGGTTCTTGTTTTGATTTTGGTTCTGGTTCTGGTTATGGGATTGGTCATGCGTGCTGCTAAAGGGTCTGGGTCTCTCGCTTGTTGCCAGGCGCAGATCTTTTTGCAGACGTTTTGAATCTTCGAAGAGGCGTAGAATAGTAGTGGCGTGCGACCAGTACTTGGCTAGTTCTCGGAGTGAGTAGGAGGCGGAATCGAAGCGGCGCAGGGCGTTAATGGCTAGGACAGGGTTGGAGAATCGCAGCTCGACGCGAACTTGGATCATCGCCGTGAAGAGGGTGTGGACGCCGGAATGCCATAGGTACTTGAGACGATCGTTTAAGCGGAGTTCTTCGAAGATAGATGCGATGACACCAGCGGCTGCACTGCAGATCTCTGCATCATGCGGGCCGTAGTCGTCCGAGTACGCGGATGCCCTGGGATGGGGCCGATGGAGAAGGATGAGAAAATTGTTGTAGGTCAAGTGAAGCATGGCGGACCAAGGATCCATATCCGAGGCACGCAGCCGCAGATTGTCTGGAAGCCGCAAAGACCAGTTTGCAAGAGCTTCGTCTGCTTCTTGCAATGCGGCTTTGCGACGCTCCGAACTGACTCGTAGTCCGAACCGCTCGCGCACGATATAAGATATCATTGTGCAGAGCTCCGAAAAATGAATGACATAGTCCGTCTGGACGCGGGCCCCACAGCCTTCAAAATCAGAGGCTGTCAACGGAGAGACATCAGAGTCTTCGAGATTGCTGGAGCATAGAGAGATTAGGGCAGGTAATGAGACTCAGATCCGGGCTAGCACACTTACATAGCTTGAGGTCGACCATACGAAAGGGAGACCATAACATCGAACTGAACCAGTATGTACCATAGCCTTCTCCACATCCGGCGGTCCCGGGGAACGAACTTGCTCGAGACTGGATTTCGATGCATGCCGAGGCCAGTCGCGATTCGAGCAGCGACGCCGACCCAGTAGTGAGCGTTGGCAGAAACATCATCATCAGGGCTGTCCGAATGCCACGTCAAGAGCAGCGCAGCTTGCACCATGGTATCACGGTTTCGCTCAATGCGATTGTCAAAGAGCCATTTCGCGCGACGGAAGAAAATTTCTTTCAAAGTATCGCGCTCTTCTTTTGGATGCGTGACATGGCATCCGACCAACAGAATGGCTTGCAGAAGCAAGATGGGCGGAGGATCAGAAGGGTCCCTATTGCGATACTGACTCATGAACTGATCCTCTTCAACAATGGGATATCCCGGGTTCACGTGAGTGAAGTATGCATGGACAAGCTCGTCAACGAGAGCCGGCTCCGGTAGAGTCAGAGCGTCTACGAGGAGCTGGTCGTGACCGGTTTTCAACTGTCGCCGTGGTATCTCGCTGCCAGCAAAGTGATATACGTCGTCATCTTTATCGCGCTGTTGACGTATCAAGAAGGACATGTTCGACAGCTCGTGTCCAACATAGATTGCTCGCACGCCCCTCTGGATTTCCCGAGCACCTGACCCTTCCTCATCGTCAATGAGCTTCACCAATCGCTTCTCAAAATCGGCATGGGCATCCTGTTCGGCGAACGGGTCTGAAGCGGGCGGAAGATGGCTTTCCTGTGCTTGTGGAGACGTGTGACTATAACTATTGCTGTGGAGATGTTGTGCCTTGGACTGGACATTCGGAACGACGCTCGCCGGAGGAGCTGCTGCGTCTGGCTGAACTCCGCGAAAAGCAGTTGTGAAAGCGATTGGTTCACTGACGGCAGATGGAGGAGACGCTTCGGGGACATGTTCGGAGATGGACGGTGGCCGACAACGAATTGGAACGGGATTCAGAATGGAGCGTACCGCAAGGCGCTTCTTCTTCTCATGGATGCGGCAATCTGTTTTCCCTGAGGAGCGGCAGTTGGAGCAGGGCAGGCCAACGATACGTGCGTCACACCGGACTTTGCGCCGATGGCAGTGGACGCAGGCTGCAGAGCCTAAGCCAAAGGAAATCAGTATGGATGTCGACAAGTACATTATGGGAACAATTGTAGTCAACAGAGGTATTGTCTACCTGACTTGCGCTTGGTCACACCATTGCTGGTGGGTGAAAGGCTATTCTGCGCTGTGGATGACATAGCAAAAGCATCGAGGCAGATTCAAGGCCCATAGACTTTCTTCCTCATCATGTGAAGCCGCTAGAGGTCCAGAATTGGGAGATCGATTCAGGAACCCGACATGACCCAAACAATCAGAAAGATGAGCAGAAGTGGGAAGAGGCAAATGCCGGGAGAGGGAAATCGCAGGAACAGCGATAAAGAGAAGACCGATAATGGATGAAAGTGGGGGAGAGTTGGGTCTGGGGAAGATCACGTGGAGGTGCGGAGAAGGCGCAGTCGGAGGATTTTGGCTGATAACAAAATACGCGAGATCAGAATGATATTCAACAATTGAGCTCAAGGTGTGTTCCGGAGGGCGCAAGGAGGGTTTTGTTAGCGGGAGACAGCGAGAGAAGGTCCTCGTCGGAGCCCAGGAGGTGGTAGAAGCAGTTTCCCGTCGGCGAAGCTGTTATCGGTTGCGATCTGTGTCCACACCCAGGAGCTGTCCAAATCTTCAAGCCACAGGACTCGAAAAGTCGGATCCAGTGATTCCCCGTTGTCTTGAGCTTGATGCATGTAAACAACTCTCTTCGAACGTTTGATCTGTGGGACAAAGGCTGTGCCTATGTATGCTTAAACAGACCCTATACACTCTATGATTGCTGTCTATGTATGTACAAACTGAGCATATGAATCGGTCTAAACATGAAGCAGTGTACAATGTAGCTACCCAAACACAAACCGTTTCCAGTTGTCTGCCAGTCGTTGGACCCCCTGTTGTAATGACCAGCCACGGAGCTCACAGATCTGCCGGGCAACTTCCTCGAGCAAATCGTCCATCTGCTGACCAGCAGCGTGAAGGTCGCTCTCAATGAGCACTCTGTCCTCCGGCAAAGCTTTGATAACAGCGATGACTTTCTGAGACGACGGCCCGCTGAAATTGATCACACTAGAAAAGGAGAAGTAGACGTCCGACGGATTTGAAGGGTTCAGAAATTGCTTCAATTGCTCCACAGGGCCCGAATACGAATGCATACAAATTCGGGGTGGATATGGGAGAGGTGGACCTTCGTGCTTTGGTGACTTTCGCACTTGCTCGTCTTCGGCGTCGCTCTCTGCGTGAGCACCTTCAACGCTAAGACGTCTTCGTCTCTCCCGTCGCGAGGGTACTCTGCGTTCATGGCCTGCCCATAGCTCCTTGAAGACATCAAATACCGCTCCATGTGCTTGGACACTGTGTACTGAGACTGGTCGTTGAAGTTCCCCAGCGAGGCGAAGCTGGGCTTTGAGAATAGCCTTTTGGTGTTCCATGTGCACCCTGTAGGGTGAGAGTTTCCGGCCTTCACGAGATCCGGGCGTTATTTGCCCGTTACGATTCTCAGCCTCCTGCTGGGTCCAGGCCTTCGGAAGTCTGAAAGCACGATCAAGGCCGACCTCGCCAACCAGAGCATTTGGAAAAGATAGTAGCCGTTCGCGTGTCTCGGAGATGAATTGCGAGAGAGGTTTCGGGTCAGGTAGAAAAGAAATGAAGTCTTCATCTTCAGAAGCGGGTGTTAAGACTTTTTGATAATGCGTTTTCTTGCTCTCAGGATCCGGGACGCCCTGCGCTGCCTCTGATGATGACTCCAGATCGTCGATGATTATGTGTGAAAACCATGGATGCCATCCAAAGCATGGAAGTACACGATCCATCTCGGCATCCTGAACAGTCAATTTTTCATTGTTAAGGTCTTTAGCTATCTGAAATACAAGGCCTTGATCCTCTGCTCGAGTGGCCATGACTGTGAGCGTCGTTGTTTTCATCCTTGGAATATCAGATATTGACGAAATGGTGTCCGTGGGGTGGCAATGGGCATCATAGACACCGAGCTCCCAAGGAAATTCGGAGACATTGTCATGCTCATTTCCAGGCATGTTCCTCCCGTCCATATGCGTTTGATCTCGTGGTAGTATGATAAGAGACATCAGACAGTTTTAGGGTGACAAACTGAATGCTGTGATGTAATGGTACCAGAAGATGGTGGAAATACCGATACCGTAATTTTGGAATTACTGCCTGGGGCATCAATGGCATCAACATGAGCTATTACCTCCCGTATATCACATGCTTTTCTCCGCACTTGTTGCTGTCAAGCAGAAGCTCCGATAACAACCTGGTACTTTTAAGGTCCATTGGCATCGTAGGCTTGCAAGATGTCGTGGCTATCTTTCCGCGATCAGAATTCTGGTGATATGATGGATATACCCTTCTATCCCGTTCAAGTCATCCACTATCTTCTAATCTCTTACTGAACCTTCTCTGCGTTTGGTCTTCATGCCAACCACATGCTCCACCTTGTTGACAGTGCCGTTTTTGGCACTGGTTTCAGTACCTCTGATCTTCTCCGCATATATCACCATCTGCCTCTCCGTGCTGACTCTGTTTTTACGACTTTTCGTCATTTACGTTGAGCTATGCTATGCTATTGTCTCAAACTACTTTGTAATTCCGATATCTAGCAAGTCTTCATTGCTGAGTTTTGCCTCTGAACCGACTACCCCCGCCGCCACCTCTGCCACGCCCAAGAGACGATCCATTGATCATGGCGTCGGTGTGATATTGCCTCACCCCAGCAACCATCGCCACGTGGCGCCCTTTTCTCGAGGGCACACTCGCTCGGCGCCGACTCGACGGCGAAATAGTTCGTCTGCTCTCCTAACTCTCATCAGCGGAGATGAAGGTCGGGACTTCGAAGGCGTGGGTGGTTGGCGCTGCCCACCATCTGCAAGGTCGCAGGGCCATCTCTCCAGGTCCGCATCGTCCTCCTCAAAGGACAGCATAAGCGACGAGGCAGATGAGCGGGCCTGGCTCTCAATCAATGATCGTCTCGAGCTCCCCTCACAGCCATTTCCACTGCGGAACCACCCCGAAACAGCAGACATTCTGCCCTGGAGACACAGCCAGGCCACCTCTCATAGTCCCGAGGGCCACAGGCAGCGCCATCACCATCGTTCCGCAACCACCTCCCTGATCCCCAGTCAAACTCGCCGAGCTCCTACTTCTCCGTCAGCATCGCGGTCAAACAGGTCAGAGTTCCACTTACCGGCCGGCAACGGGGTCCGCTCCCGAGGTCTCTCTCCGCGGCCACAGTCTCAGGACGCATCATCTTTTTCAACATATTCTGATTTTTTCCGTGCTATGGCCAGTGCGCCGCAGACATATTCACAATTGCACCTATCAAGTTCATCCGATGCCCTGGGTGGTTACTTTGGTTTTCGCCCAGGCAATGGAGCGAATAGCAGCGGGAGTGCAGTCTCAACGACGGGCACCACCACGCCGGTCGAGGATCGTACAACGCCCCGTAGTATGGGGAGATTTATGGCTCATTATCCTACAGGCGTCAGGTATCGTAGACGAAGTGTATCGGGGCCAAACCTTGGATCGCAATTACCCAGTCCTTCTTTGAACAGAGACCGGCCGTTTTGACTGATTGGTTTTGATTCTGAGGTTTTCAAGAAAAGCATCTTGATAGTTTTGCATACTAGCGATCGGATTTCCAAATTGACTAGTGAGTGATTATGCATCTACAATTCATAGGATCTAGCGACTTGAAGCCATTCCACCGTATCTATGGATTATACTCTAATAATACACTCCGTATGTCCAACTCATCTTGACGCAGAATCTGGAAAGTTTATCAAGAAACAAGGAAATAATTACTGAAGGGGGAAAGGTATATCGCTCATAATAGACAGCACATCTCTCGCGTCACTTCGGACTCCGAGACCTCTCCCTTTGGCTCACCTCTTCCATTTCCTCCAATACCACTCTATTGAATTCCTCCCATCCATCGAGGTAGAGATGATGACCCGATCCCTTGATGATTACCACCTTAGCCGAGCCATTATCCGCCTCACGCTCTTCTGGTGAAGCATTCTGGAGCACCCGCCGTTTCTCCTCTTCAATCTTGGCCTTGGCTGCGAGGCCTCCCGCCGCGTCCATCCAGTCATGGTCTCCATACATGAAAACGACGGGAATGCCGGTCTCGCGCTTGGCTGGGGGTAGAGAACCCTGGGTCGCCGACTCAGAAGATGGCGGATTCGAGGGCGAGGCGTCCGTGACTTTCGCAGGCTCCGAGCCAGAGGCGGAAGGCTGAATCATCTGTCGTCCGACGTTCTGGATGCGCCGGATCAAAGGGCTGCGCGCGAAGGCTCCTGGAGCTAAGATATATGCAAGAGCATACTCTCCACTGCCACGTTGACTGAAGATCGAATAGGAGTAGTCGTGTAGAGCTTTCGCTTCATTGGCAGGTAAATGGGAGAAGCGCCGAGAGGTCCAGCCAGATACGATGCGGGGCCCGAGAGGGCCAGCCCACCGTACCAGACTGAAAGGAGAGATGTTGGCTTCCCACAGATAGGCAAACCATTTGGGAATGTTGCGGCGGGCTGGTCGGCTTTCCGGTGGTGCCGCTGTCGCCGCGTTACCGTAACCTTTGAGCAGGACGTTGTTGTCGCCTTTCTGGGCTACTTCCGGGGGGACAGACAACGACGTCTGTGCGATAGTTTGCTGGTCCTGGGTGAACTCCTGCGCTAAAGTGGACTCGGATGGTTCGGGCATATCCGCAGAGACAGCATAAGGATCTTCGGGAATCCCCACGGGAGAGGCAAGGATCAGCTTGTTCAAACGGCCGGGGTACTTCAAGGCATAGGCGACGCCCATATATCCCCCCAAGCTGTGACCAAGAAGCGTAAAGCGTTCGATCTTACGCTTCACGCGCCATTCCTCCAAAGCATCAACGAACCAATCCTCCGCCTCCTTGATGGCTTCCTCTCTGTTCTTAGCCTTGATGCGAAACGGTGGTCTGGTGCTGCGACCCATGCCCAACATATCCAACGCGTGCAGTTGCCACCCCTTCAACCGACTGAGAGGTTCAAAATTCTTGTAGAAGAAGCCCAACCCGGCACCATATCCGTGAAGCATGACCAAATGTTGGTCCGCTTCCTCACCGACTCTCTCCACGGAAAACTCATTTAGAGCCCTGTTCTTACCGCTCAGTTCAACCATGCTGGAGCGCCATCTTCTCGGTCCGTACGGATCGTCGGTGGAATTGGCCGATACTTCACCTTGCTGGCTGAGATCGGCCGATTGGAGACTCTGAGCCACACCATCGCGTTGAGTGGTGGTCTTTCCGGTCTGCAGATGCGTAGGAGGTTCATGCTGGAGATAGGGCAAGAAAGAGAGAACTTTATGCTCTGCTGCTGCAGCTGGCAAACTAGCCCACTGGAACCAGATCTCAGCGACTTGTGCTACAACTTTGGTCATCATCTCCCACTTCAGGAACCTACCCATTGATTGAAGCCTTCTCTGTAGCCTAGAGGAAACCACGAGGAGCGCGCTGCGGCTGCGCTGGCCCCTCGGACGGCATATGGCGTGCTCTCTTGTTGAGAAACATACGGGCCATGGTGGGCTCGATCGTGAAGGTCGTCCTTAGACGAACTGAGTGATTCCGATGTCATTGAGGACGTGTAGCGTAGATGGATTGTGGGATGTGGCGAAGAAAGGAGACGGGGCGGTTCAAATGACGTCCAGGGTCGGGAGACCTGGGAAGAAAATGAAGGAAGTCGCACGGCGGACAGCTTGTCGCGATGGCATCCAGAGTGACAGAGACGGTACCTCTGTCACTCGCACGGACAAGACAAGAAGAAAATTTATAGGGAAGGGGCGCAGAGGTCATAAATTCGTCAGCAATGGAAATAAGAAGGCCAGGTGGGCGTAGCGCAGCGGTCAAAAACGAAGCCAAAGACCGCTTATCCCCGAAGCTCAACAGGCAGCCGGAATGATGGCGAAGTCGGAGGAAACAAGGACTGTTTAAAGTTTCATCAAGGCTGTAGCCGTTTGTAGGGTATCATAAGTCGTAGAAATGCGATGAGATAAGATTGATTGACAAAAAACGTTGAATTTGTTACAGTATGATAGCTGGAGGCCGTTGAGTGGAGACGCTGATGACGATGATCCGGCTGATTTTCTTCTCCTCTTTTTCGTTGAGCTAGTGATACTGTAGCTGGATGAACCAGAAACATTATTATTATCAACCTTACCGACTTTCCTATTTGGCTTCGTCTTCCACATCTCATGCGATGAAATCGCGTCTGGCCGCAAAGGCCGTGCAGTCCCTCTAAAAGCCTACGATATCCTCTTCCACTTTCAAAAGGGATCTTCTCCTGTTGATCCTTTTCCCCTCCCTCCACAGCGTCATGGCTGCACAAACCCGGAGCCTGGATCAGCTTGTCAAGGGTTCGCCAGCTCCTGGAAGTCTTCCAGAGTCCATATCCAAACCCTCTGGTCAATTGAACACCCTTCAGCCGCCGTTTTCTCAAGATGCCCCGGATCCCTCCTCCCCGCCCCGTTCATCGACCCCGGATCTGCTCTCGACTTTGCCCTCGTCTCCTCCTCAAATCTACCTGAACCTTCTCATTCTCGAAAGTTCGCTGCGAGCTCAGTATCTGGCGCTGCGGGAACGTCGACGACAGAATACCTTTTTCCTGCTCCTGCTCGCTGCCTGGATCGCTTACTTTGCGTACGCGCTCTTCCTCCGTCCGCGGGAGGATGGCAGCGGGGTGGGAGGCTCCATTTACTGGATGGTCGAAATGGGGGAAAAGGTCGCGCTTCTGGGAGGAATAGTCACTGCGTTGCTAGTCTGGGGAACAGGACAGTGGGAACGGGGAGTGCGATGGCCACGGCGCTGGCTCGCCGTCGCCAACCGCGGCCTACGCACCATGAACACCAAGATCGTCATCATCCGGGGCCCCTGGTGGCAGGAACTGCTATCCTACCTTTCCTTTCTGTTTCCATTCACCTCTCCTTTCTTCCCTACTCCAACCGGGAATTTCCACTACATCGAGCGCCCGTCGTCGGACAAGCGCGGTAGTCGGCAGCACTACCAGCAGTACTACAACAACGTCGACAGCGAATCGGGCCTTGTGGAGGAAGATCTCAGCCCCGGGGGTGATTACATCCGTCTGCTTCTTCTCCCCAAATCCTTCTCGCCCGAATTCCGCGAGAACTGGGATGACTACCGAACCGAGTTTTGGGAAAAGGAGAACGAGCGCCGCGCTCAACTGCGCGAGAAGTTGCGCCAGAAGGAGCGCCAACACGCTCAGCAAGAAGGAGGCTGGTTCTGGTGGCTCGGACTCGGATTAGGCTGGAAGGCCTCACAACGCCGACGACTCGTCGCCGCAACCCTCAAGTCAAGCGACGGAGACAAACATCGTCATCACCATCCTCACTCCAGCATCTCCAAACATGGCCACGACCTCAAATCTCCCATGCGGCGTAGCGCGCGTTCTGAGTCCCATTCCCGCACCCCATCCCGTAGTACGACGCCAGTGGACGTCGACGATCGTCCGCCGTCACGCTCTTCCGCCAGCAGCCGTCCTCGCCGGGGAAGCACAACCCCGTCTTCCACTGCTTCGGAGCAGAGCATGCAGCTACGGAAAAAGAGGGGCACGAAATCACTTTCTCGCGGGCTGTCGCCTTTGACCCAAGCACAGATCAGGGAGGGCATCTATAGTACGCCGTCTCTCTCGTCCGACGATTCGTTCCTGGGTGAGACTCTTGAGGGCACACAGTCCCGTGAAGCTAGTCCCTCGGCGTAGGTTGGAAGCATCCTATGTTCGTCATATACCATAATTAGAACCATCGCATGCATCGCATGGATTTTTGTGTCGATGTATCTACAAACGGATATCAGATTCTCGTCAATATATGGATTTATTCTCCACTGTGTCTATATGACTGTAGAGTGACTGAACGCTCTTCCGATATACAAGCAAGAAAATAGATCTAGAATTATGGAGCGTTCTGCTCAAACTCGATTGCAGTGAGCATGAAACATTATGCCAGGGGCTATGCATTGAAAGACATTATTTTCAAACATGGACAGACTATCGTGTCACTTGCATACATAAAGGTTGAAGAAAAACTCCGATACGCCATACTGAGTATCCGGCGCAATTCAAGATATTGGACTGAGAATCCGTCAAGCCCTTCCCGAAACACTATTCTAACCACTAGTATGCAATAATCATTGGATTTAAATCCTGTAAACAGTCTCATCGTCTTCGAGGAACCTGTAAGCAAAAATAGGTTAGTCAGGCTTGACCATCATGACAAAATATCTGTCGGCTGACTCACATCAACTCATTTCTTTCGTTCATGGCTTTCAGTGCCTCAATTGCCTCTGCTCGCTGGAAGACATGGCCGGCTCCGAGCGAGGGAGATTCCCGCACAGCGGTATTAACTGCTCCAATGAGCTCCTCCACATCGGCGGTGTCGCCGTGAGTGAACAGCCGTGTGCCCATGAGCGGGCCTAGAGCCTGACGGAACACGGTCAAGCGCGCAGGTTGGATCGGCTGGGACGAAGTAGCAGACCTCATGGCATTCTGTGATTGTGAATCATCGGTCTGAGACTGGATGAGCTGCGACGCCGGTTGCGAAGAAGCAACGGACATCCGAGATTGGCTATCTGTCTGCGTCTGCGTACGGTTTGTCTGACTTGAACGGAGTCGCTGCCCTCGAGGGCTAGCAGAGTACAAACCGTCCCCGTCTTCCGACACGGCGTCTCCGTCGGCATCCATCTCGTCCCCGTTTGTGGACCGCGTAGCTGCTGAACGTGTTCGCAGTGTTCCGACTCGCCGGCTTGATCGTGGCGTGGCGGTTGCATTCGCGGGAGTATTGTCATCATCGGAGTCGGATTCGCTCGATTCAGAGTCTTCATCGAATGTTGTGACCTTTCTCCTCTTGCGGCGTTCATCTTCAAGAACTTCCTTGAACATAGCGAAGCGCAGAATAGATTCGGCAACCTTGGCATCTCTCTCCTCGACTCGATTCGATAAGCGAGCTTTCGCGTGCGCCGTGGACAAACGAATTAATGTCTCCAGCGTACGTGCGGTTATGGGGGATGTTCGACGCTGGTTGCCCGAGAGCTCGTCGTTTCTCAAAGCTGAGTAAGTCGCAACAATATGATCGGCAGCGCCCTTAGTGAGGACTGGCTTAATTCTCGATTTAGAGTATTGAATGTACTTCTTGATGAAGGGAATGCTCAGAATTTCAATGCCCTTGCCCTTGCGGCTCGAGTTGGCCATTCCAGCATGGAGCATAACATTGAACTTTTCGTACACCTCCGTTGGCTGGTTGGAGTCCTGGTTATCCTCAAGTCCAACACCCAAGGTCTGACTAAGGTCTTCCCGAACCGGAGCACCTTCCTCGGTTCCAGGTTGACGGTAACGGTGCATGCGCAAGACGTGCTCTGAAACCATTCTGTCCCTGGCATCTTCAATATCGTCCGTCACAACAAAAAGCAAATCGAAACGTGAAAGAAGTGAATCAGGAAGGGCGATGTTCTTGTGAGGGTCTTTATGAGGGTCGTATTGTCCGTAGATAGGATTAGCGGCTGCCAAAACACTGCAACGAGCGTTCAAGCTTGTGTGAATGCCAGCTTTGGCAATAGTGACCGTCTGCTGTTCCATCACCTCGTGAATAGCCACTCGATCCACGTCACTCATCTTGTCGAATTCATCAATACAGACAACACCGCGGTCACCCAGGACCATCGCACCGGCCTCCAAACGACGCTCCCCAGTCTCCTTATCAGAGGTGACAGCGGCTGTCAGACCGACTCCCGAAGAGCCCCGACCTGTGGTTGCGATTGCGAGAGGTGCTGTATTCAAGACGAAACGAAGAAGTTGCGATTTGGCGGTCGATGGATCACCGACCATGAGGATATTGATGTCACCACGCAAATGCGTGCCGTTATCGAGATTCTTCTCCATTCCACCCAAGAGCATCAGCAAGATCGCTTTCTTGATATAATCATGTCCGTATATGCTAGGTGCAAGAGAGTTGGAGAGCAGCTCGAATACGTTCTTCTTTTTGGCGACTTTGTTGATGTTTCGAATGTCGGTGTCCGTGATAGTGGCTTGAGCAATGCCTCCACCAGACTTTGAAGACAGTTGAATAATATTGTTGGCCATAACGACCGTGCGAAAAGTCGAAGACCCAGAGCTGGCATTTCGATTTCCCAAAGAGCGGTAAATTCCCACCAGCTGAATCCGGTCTCCAGGTTTGGCACTGTCCACCAGATCATCGTCCAAGATTACGTCGACACTCCGCGGAAGCTGGCCCGCTGGAGCTCTCTCAGGCATTTCTTGGATGGAAATGGTTTGGTGATCCAAGTATGTCGAGTACCCGTACTCTGTGATCAACTAGAAAGCGAAAACGAAATCATCAGCGATACCAGTCCAGTTAAGGCTCTTCCTTCGATGGCATACCGGATTCTTCTCATCGTCTTCTTGGGGATAGACATTCATGTTGGTAATTCCAGTAGTTGTCATTGTCTGATCTCTATACCGCCTCGCAACGAATCGGTCTTTCCGCTCATTGTAGTGCACACTTTGGATGACTTTTGGGCGAACCAGAGAGCATTTTGTGACGATACCCTCGAGAGAGATCATCCTGTTCAAGTGAGAAGATCCCAGAGTTCTGGGATTGCAAGAAAATTCTCCGAAAGCGCCAACGTAAGCACAGTAGTAATTCTGAATTTCATCAGCAAAGATGCCGCGTGTCCAGAAATCTTCGTTGGATTTTGCATACCACATCGTCGGCTGTTTCCCTGGAAGGTCTGTTCGGCAATGTCTTGATAACCTCCTTCAAAGCCCTGTCGAAAGCAAGAGAGTAATCGAACGGGGAGGTAAGAAGGCTAGAGAAAGCGTCAGCAACATGATCCTAGCGATGCTGCGAACTGTGCTGAACTCACCCATCTGCCAATTCGCGGTTGTGTGCTCTGATCTCATCGATGCTTACCTGCGTGCCTATTAGTTCTTTGTATCGACTTTGTAACTTTACATATAGCATACTGTCAAGCGACGCAGTCCCCGGTTCAGCATCAGCACAATATCGGCTCGGTAGCTGTTCGCTCGTCAGAACCATCACGTCTCAGCAATGGAGGCTACTTGTGAATCTCAACGGACCTTCGCGCGCGGGCATCGCCTATTAGGACCTCTAGTCAGAAATTTACTTCATGAAGCATGTATGTTGAAAACTCACTTGGATCGAGAAATTCGACTGCAGCTCTCACTCGATCCTGACCGGCCTCATCGCGGAGTTGGACCCCATCCATGACGAAGGATGTCCACGACTTTGGATCTATGTGATAGAGGTAATCAATTGGTTTGGTCAGAGACTTAAGTAACGAGATTTATTTCGTTGGCACTGCAATTCAGTCTCATACAAGGACGGTAATGGGGATGTTCAAATTGTTCCTTGAATGGTTGTTAGCGGAGGGATCTTTCTTCAAGAAACACGACACCCAAATCGGGCATAATTGGAACGCGTCTTTTCAACTCTAACGCGTCGCGGAATGGTCGCTTAATGACTCAGCGGGACCATACTATCACGTGATTATGTCCACATTCTCCCAAACTGGCATCCTTCCTTCGTATAGTAGCCCGATATTATTAGTCATTATCAGAAGTCATATTATACAAATGTCCAAATGTGGATCTATAGATCTATAGGTAGTAATATACAATCATAGGTTCTGATATACAATATTGACCAAAGCGGATATGTTAAAGAATCCTATGCATCCTGCGTCATACCGCTGTTGTGTAGCTCTTGCTCTGGCTGGCCTTGATGCCCACTAGGTGGCTCTTCTTGTTCTCGCCCGTCTGCTGCTTCTGGCGCATCTTCGTCAGGGTATGCCAAATCGTCCATCAAGGCAGACATGTCCGTTTCATCGCATTCGTCCACTGAAACGCGGTGTTCATTGTCCAGCAATGCTTCGCTCGCCTCTAGCAGAGCGCGCCTGGATCCAAGGAGCGCTTCTGCCTCGATATCGAACTGGTCCTGCGGATCTATGCTCTTGGTGTCAGGTGTGGACACGTCTTCAGGGAGAGATTCCGTCTTGACAGCAGGAGCGCTTGTGCCATCGAGTGCTTCTTCGTGGATCACACCTGGCTGGGACCGCGCGCTGGCCGAAGCATTTTCCTCTTGGTTTGCTTCCATCGCTGACTGCTCAACAGCTGTTGGAGACCTCGGTTTGCCACCAACACCAAGGATACCGCCGGTCCACACAAAATGATCACGATCTCGAGAGTCTCCCTTCTTGTCGCCTTGCTCCTGACGACGCCGAAGTAACACACCTTGGAACTTCTCACGAAGGTACGGCATGTCCGCAATGGCTGCAATAGTATTAGGCGCAACTTTGTAGAGAGTCCCCACCTCCAATCCTCCGTCAAAGATACTCCTCTCCCGGAACGCTTGTAACGCGGACGCCAGATAGACCATCGAGACATATGTAGGTTGCATGAAGTCAGGCTGAATTTTGCTCCAGTAGCGTCGAGATTCTTTGCCGAGCATGTTAGGAGGTTTCGCACGTCTCGGGTTCTCCATGACATCAATGGTTGAAGGCACGCCAGGTGGTCTCACTCCGTAACCCCGGCGAAGATTATTCCATCCAGGAAAATTAGGCATGAACTTGCGCTCAAAGACAGTGAACGCCTCAACCTGGTCAGAAGGCTTGTCAGAAGAAGCCAGCATCTGCACGTATGTGGACCAGTTGAAAGTTGTCAGAGGAAAACCTGCTTTCTGTACTTCTGCTACGACTTGAGGTATCTTCCAAGTCTCGTTCCGGTACGCCAATGATCGCATGTACAAGGAGAGGGGTCGCGAGAGCAGGAATCGACATGCAGGCAAAATTGAGGGCGGCTTTAAAGCAAGTATGTCCGGCTTGTCCGAGCTTAGAAGAACATCCTTGTGGGAGTTGACAGGGCTCGGGATTGGATAATCCGGTTGCTCAGCCTCTTCAGCACGTAGCAAGCGATCAGACAGCCATTCATCAAGGTCAGGCTGAGTAGCCATCTTGACGACACGGGGAAACGTAATTTTCCAACATTCTTCAACCTTTTTATACTGCTCTGACTTCAAATAAGTAAGCATCAGTGCAGAAACGAGACGGAGAGGCGCCACATCATAGGCGGGCCGTTCATGAGTGGGAGATTTTCTATTGCGGAGGAATTGATCGAAGAGCTCTTTGACCCTGTGAAAGACTCCCCGGGTGCCATATGCTGTGATGAGGTATTCATAGTACATAGCAGGGAAGGCTTGGGTGATGGGTAGTCTGCCCGCGCCGGGCAATGGTTCTTTTGACGCCATATTGGTTTTGTCGAAATCGGCGATTGTTTCGGCAAGGAATCTTTCCGCGTTCTCTAAGCGAACATTGGCACCACTGACTGCCCGTCCACCAGTTTTGATAAGTTCCAAATCACGTTGCAGCTGATTCTTTAGAACGAGAAGCCGCGAAGTGAATCCAGGACGCTTGAAACGTTCTTTGATCTCGCGAAAAATGATGTGGACCATGTCCCGGTTCCGCTCTTTCACATAGCCATACAAGATGATGGCATAGTGAAATTCTGTGGCATACATGTGATTGCTTCGATGAAGTGTTCTGAGAATTCGGCGCGCGGGGTCGGTCTGCCCTCGGAGCACCAAGCTGAGCATGAGAGCCGCATATGTCATAGAGTCAGGCTGCACTCCAGCAGAATCCATGCGGGAACGTATTCTTGAAATAGACTCCAAGTCCATGCGAAATGCATAGTTCCAAAGCAGCACATTCCACATCCTCACTCGAGACCCTTTGACATCCAGACCAAGGCAGGTCTCAGCAACACTCTCAGCTTTTTCAAGCTCTCGATTGTTACAATAGGCTTCAACGATTGTATCCAGTAATGGCGTAGTGATCCGCACAGGGCTTCTCTTCGCTAATTCGAGCAACTGACGGACAGTGTCAATATCCCCTCTGTTTGCACAGAGTCCCATCAACGCTCCGAAAGTATGAGAGTTAGGCTGGACACCCTCCTCCAGCATTTTGTCAAAAGTAGCGAAGGCTCCTCCGAAGTCATCTGCATTGGTATAGGCAGTGAGGAGGATGTTCCAACATACAGTGTTCTGCTTCAGACCAAATTCCTTTGATATTCTCTCGAATTGGCGACGCGTCGCCGTTACATCGCCAACCCTGGCATGGACGTAGAGGAGCGGGGTCAAAAGCCTTCGACTCGAGGGTTTTCCGTGATGAATCACAAGCTGCTCAAAGAGGCTGTTGGTATTTTCCACATCTCCGGCTCGGGAAAACGCAACGAGCGCATTTTTGTATGCGTCAATGGATGGCTGGCCGTAGAAATGGGCATATTCATCCAGGAAATAATGTATCCCAGTGGTGATTTCGAAATGGGCCAAAGACCGCAAAAATGCGCCCAGAAGGTCTGCTGGAGGCACTTCCTGGTCCATCTGCCAGCGAAGATTACGATACACCACAATTGACTTCGTGAATATAGAGCGAACGTCGGAGGACTGGAGAGTCCGAATCAGACGGAAATAGTGCTCCGCCGTGAGAAACCCCAGTAGATTGTACTCCTTTAATAGGAGAAGGAGATTTTCTGTCGATACATCCGCCGCGACTCGGGAATTTGAAAAAGCATAGTCCAGTAGAAAGTGGACAAGACCAGTCCAGGACCTCGAGGTCTCCTGACTCCGCAATACCTTAGCGAGATCGAAAAGCTTCATCGGAAGGCTAGAGTCATCCAGCTCAGAAGCGACCGCACTCAGCAACGCCTTCTCCGAGGATGGCGGCCGCGCGCTCCAAAACTTCTCAGCAGAGTCCCATTTTCCTTTATTGACAAAATGCGAAAAAGCGAGGGCCCAACAAGAAACATCTCCGCCCGTGGCTTTTGCGTCTCTGCAAACTCTGTTTATCTCATCAGGCTTCCCGATAGCCAAGTAAGACTTTGCCAAGTACAGAGAATCTTCGGCGGTACGTTCACGAACAGGGATTCTCCGATAGACCCACTGAGCCCGTAGGTTGTTGCGGAGCACTGATGATCTACTCAGGTGAGCCAACAAAGCCGCACTCACATCTTTCGGTCGGCGAGCTGTCTCATAAAGCTCCCACGCCCTGTCATAGTATCCATAGATACCGGGTTTACTTTCATTGAGAATTGACACAAGCTCTTGCTTGGCTTGTCTTCGTTCGAGTTCCTTCGCCCTCTTCTCCTCAAGATCCACAGGTTTATCTGGAAAGACGGGCTTGTAGAGGCTCGCAGCCACCGATGTGTAAGCCCTGGTGAGAGCAGGTATCAGCTTCTTCTTGCGTCGCAGGGCAAGTCTCCGGGGCGGGCGTAACAAGAGCGACGCAGCAAATTCCTGGGTACGTGGAGGATACAGGAAATCGAGAACAGGGTTCCATGTATCGGCAGTTGCTTGACTCGCCTTCCAAGAGACAGAGCTTATCGAATCCTGGTGGCCTGATGTTTTAGAGGGCGAGTGTGACAGAGGTACAGCCTCCGCAGTTGTCCCATTGCCCTGCGTGAAGTGAGGATACCAAGATCTCCGACCCCGGAGTGCCCCCTTGGAATCCCGGAAGAAACGCCGACCTGCGTTCTCAAGGCATCCGGCAGCCCGTTCCAGCATTACCCTGAAAAATCGCGGTGCCAAACCCTGAAATCACCGATTCTCAACTGCAGAGCGTAACATATCTGTATCAATCCCTTCAAGAAGCCGAGGGAAACGACAAGACAGCCGATGTTTCGAGTCTTCGCAAAGCTCCCAGCTGAACGATAGTATTCCAGAATGATTGAACGAGTGCAGGAAGGTCAAAAAATTGCCACCGAGGAGGCTCCGGAGTCAAAAGAGAAAGCAATCAATTCTTTATCGGAAACTTCAATCGATTCTGTTGTAGCAAGAGGCAGGTTTAGACTACTCTGTAAGTGATATGATGTGATGCTTGCAGCAGACGAAATTTTGACGGGTCGGGCATATGAGCTTAGACGATGCAGCAAAAGATGTTCCCGCAAAATGAGCCGGGCATTCGTTTGGCCGAGATCTGACCACGCCCGCCTACCCACCCGCACTTTGGACTATCCACGTTGATTCCAAGCGACCACAATTCCCGATCCCCTCCGTTTGTGTGGTTGCCTGCTTTTCAGTGAATATGGAAATTACGGATTTCATTTTCAAACAGAGGGAGGACGTCCTCCTCGCCGGAGACTACAACGCTTACCGGGCGCACACAACCCGCAGGTTGCACAAACTCCGCAAGAAGCTCGGTCAGACTACTCCTAAAGGTCGTAAATATACTGCCAAACCTCCCGTTAGTGCAGAGGATATTAGCAGTAATGCAGCGTACGTGTCCTCCAATATGCCATGATGTAGGTAAAGAAATAATGCTGAGACATACTGACGGTTCTGTCCTCAAGATATGTACATGTCCTTCTTCTCAGCTCTGAGCGAGCTTGGGCACAAGCAATGCACATGAAATCCACGCATTCAGCCGATCCCTCAGCGAAAGGAATTGCAGGTTCAGCCAGGCGTCATATTGTGTCTCGTCTGCATAAGGCATCCGGCTACGCTCAGCAATTGGTCCTTCTGTTGGAGGACCAAACAACTTCCGGTGCTACTAATACCGATATCCTTGAAGCCCGTGCTTACCTTGCTTCACTTTTGGGGGCCCTATATTTGGAGAAGCGGAAATGGGAACAATGCATTCAGAGCTATGCCGTCTCGAGGATTATCTACACGACTCTTGGTCAAGAGGACAGAAAAGATGCATTTCGGGATCTTCTCACTGGCACTGTTGATCCCAGTATCAGATACGCAGCCTATCAGATGAAGCTTCCTCGATCAAGGCCTCTGTCCTCTTTAGCGATCCAGTACTTCCCATCAGATGTTAACATCAGGTCGGAAGTGCAAAGAGTGGATCCCGATTGTCTCAAGGAGGATAGTGCAGGGACGAGAAAGACTGCCGACGGAGCGATCCAGCAACTACCTGAGAATATCACTTGGAGGTCGCGGACTGTTACTCTGGAAGATGCCGCAATCTCGCAGGCTCTTGCTTCTGCAGCTGCGGCAGAGTCGCGTCTCAAGTCTTGGCTTGCAGATGTGGAAGGGAAGTCGGCTTCATCAAAAGAGAAAGCTGCCGCCTATGACAGTGTTATTATTGCCAGCCAGGATGCAGTCGACGCTACTAAGACTGCTATTGATGATCTAGCTAATGAAGGGGTGGAGCCTAGCGATAAGAGAATGCAAAGCTTGCAGATCACTCGTACCGCGGTCAACTATGCCCTGGTGGGATGGAGAATCGGACGTAACCGAGTTTTGTGCGGTGCTAACGACGGCATGACCTTTGAAACTGACAACGCCGAGGGCCTCAAAAGGGGAAAGGGCGCGAGTCGGGAGGAGTCGACTGGGAAGAAATTGACAAGGCTACGCGAAAAGGTTGTACTATATGACTCTATTTTGCAGAGCATCGAGTTCATCCTGGAGTTACCTGGTGTTGCTGCGGACTCCACCTTTGTGCAAGAGCTGGAAGCGAAACGCTGCTACTTCCGTGCTTTGAGGTACGAATATCCAGTTTTGCTGGCCGTTACAATTCAGTCTAACTGACAACGCCACAGATGTTTGTCTATTGCACGGTCTCATTGCCACCTTGGAAACCCGAAGAACGCTCTTGCACTCTACTCACAATCGCTGCAGCTCACTACCCAGTCGACGGTGTCTGATCAGTCGTCTCAATTGTCAAACGAGCCTTTAAGGCTGGATGTCTCGCGCAGCCAGGTTCAAGCTCTCGGATCGATTTTGCAAGGTCTTGTCGCACAGTACCGTGGTCTCGTCACTTTGGAGAAGATGGCAGCCGAAGGACCTCAGGCGGGAAATCAGCGCCCTGTGATAGAGCGCCTGCACGAGTTTTCCGGTGATAAAGTGGATTTGAGTAACCTCGTCCCATATCCGCCTAAAATGCAGCCCATTCCGGTCAAGCCACTGTTCCTCGATGTGGCATGGAATTACATCGACTATCCTCGAGAAGGTGCACACGCTCAGGAAGTGGCCCAAGGCCCCATGGAAACAGGAACGGAGGAGAAGAAGGGAGGACGACGTGGCTGGTTCGGGTTTGGGCGCTGATATAAGGGCTCACTTGCTGGATATCGTTGTTTTCTTCGGCACTTGATCATCGGTGCTTAGAAGAAAACCTAGATACTATGTGCATAGTCATCAGTTCAATGAGGATTTGAAATGATGAAATCCATGCAGCGACCAATATTGAGATGAGATGCTATCATGGAAGTCGAGAAATCTGCCGTATGAAGTACCGATGTTACTTAAAACACTTCGCTATGCATTATTGCCCCGGAAAGTTACAGTAGAAAGTGAGGCTCTCAGCTGATGCCTTAGGTGTCTTTGAAGTAATTCTATATCAAAGAGGGAAACGATCTGTTGGACACGTGCCCCGGAAGCATAACAGCCGGATCAGCTGTCGAACCCTCGAGTGAACTTTGACCCGAATGTAGCCCACAAATACTGCCTTCTGCAAGGGGCTTAGAAGTGGATTCCATTGGACCTACCTCATTGCTATGCATGGGTGTCGATTGGAGGAAATCTCCTGGCTGTACTACCCATCTAAGTACCTAGAGTCCTAGATATGGCAACTGAAACTTCTACGGAAACTTTACACCTGATTCATTATTGCACTTAAGGGTGATCCTTGTCCGCACTTGTGTCAGTCCTGTATTTATTGATCTGTGTCATGAAGTACCATCCTTACTGTTGGATGTTCCTTAAGTCAATTTACGCTTATGGTTTTTCGAACAACGGTCAGGCTTCTCAAACAGCCTTGCCTTCGTCAAATCCATTGATCTCCGGGTTCTGTCTACGTAGATAAGCTTTGCTACCTTAGTTTGACGTGGATTTCAATGCAACTCAATTTGTATTGTTACCTACTATGGGTTTCTGTGGCACGTGCTCTAACCCGTTATATCAACTCAAAAGTGCGTTGAAGGCCAATCCCATTTTCAAAACAGCAAGATCCTCCTCACCTAACTTACGATGTGAATGTACTTGGTTGTAGAGAGCGAAGAAGCAGGGCCAAGGGCATAGGGTGCTTACCGCCGTCACTGTATGCTTAAGGCTAACTCTCGGACCTCCGCAGTTTGTATAGTACCTGCGTACAGATTTTGAAATACGATGCCTATACGCCGCACTAGTATTGACCTGATATTGTAGGTAAGGTACTATTGGTTCCTTGAAAACGCATCGTCTTGGCGTGATTCGCCAACGGGACGGGGGACTTTGGTCTTCCGGTCTCACAGACATCGTATTTTTTATGATTGGTTTGCTGATCATTTACACTCTCAGGGGTAAAGCAGAAAAAGTAAAAATGAACAAAATGATCATTTGATGCTGGCTACCTCGTTTTCGACGAGGTCCCTCGCTTTTATCGACGAGGTTAATGATCCATACGAGGTACTCCGTAGGTTCTTTTCGTATTTTTGATATTTTCAATCATCTACTCCGTACCAAGATATCAGACTCGTCCAAAGGAAACTGCATATCTGGTCGCTTAGGCCTCGCCGTACCGGGAACCGTCCTATCCGCGGTGTCTAATTTCCCTAGCATACTAATTGGAATTATTTCTCCCCTCCCGCGCATTTATTAATAATTTATGAGAACTGCGTCTCCCTGAATTTTTGGGTGTGAAGCCATCTCCCTCCTCCATCCTTCCTCTACCGCGTGCTATTAGACATGGCCAACGTCAACGGGAGCTTTGTCTCCCCTTCGGCTGATGCCACGATCTCTCCTCAGCTCTTCTACAACGCCGACTTTCTCCCTGCAGTTCTCAATGGTTTCACTTTCTGGAAGGCTCTGGCGACTTTGTTCTTCGCAGCTGTTATCTATGACCAGCGTAAGCAGGATCCGATCCGTCTCTTCTCTGTTGCAACGAGACGGGCGCATGACGTTCTGGACACAATGACTGATTTTCTCTGGATACAGTGCGATACTTTTATCTCAAGGGCTCCCTTGTTGGGCCAACCTTCAAATTGCCTTTCATGGGGCCTTTCCTCCAGTCTGTGAACCCCAAGTTTCACGAATACAAGGCAAAATGGGACAGCGGCGAGTTGAGCTGCGTTTCCGTCTTCCACAAGTAAGATATCACCCTGAATGGGAAATTATGAAAATACTTTCTCTCCATTTCCTGTGGCTTGTTGCTGACAGCTTCGCCTTGTAGGTTCGTCGTCATTGCGTCCACTCGCGACATGTCGCGCAAGATCTTTAATTCACCAGCTTACGTCAAGCCTTGCGTGGTAGACATCGCGCACAAGCTCCTGGGCCCGGACAACTGGGTGTTTCTGGATGGCAAGGAGCACGTCGAATTCCGAAAGGGATTGAACGGTCTCTTCACCCGCTCGGCTCTGTCATCCTACCTCCCCGTTATGGAAGAATGTTACAACAAGTACTACAAGCATTTCCTGGAGAAGTCCAAGGCCAACGATTACAAGCCCGAGCCTTGGATGCCCGAGTTCCGTGAGCTCATGTGTGCAGTCTCTTGCCGCACCTTCGTCGGCCACTATATGACTGACGCGGCCATCAAGAAGATTGCGGATGACTACTACATGATTACGGCCGCTTTGGAGCTGGTCAACTTCCCTTTCATCCTCCCCTTCACCAAGGCCTGGTACGGAAAGAAGGCGTCGGATATGGTTCTAGAGGAGTTTTCCAACTGTGCTGCCAAGAGCAAGGCTCATATGGCTGCCGGTGGAGAAATCACCTGTATCATGGACGCCTGGGTCAAGGCACAGCAGGATTCTGCCAAATACAACGAGAAGATTGCCAAGGGACTCCCCGTGGAAGACTCCGAAAAGCCTTCTCACTTGCTCCGTGAGTTTACCGACTACGAGATCGCCCAGACTGTTTTCACTTTGTTGTTCGCATCGCAAGACGCCACCAGTGCGGCTTGCACCTGGTTGTTCCAGCTCGTGGCGGATCGTCCCGACGTTCTTGACAAGATCCGGGAAGAGAACTTGCGCGTGCGCAATGGCAATATCAATGCTCCTCTCACTATGGATCTGGTCGACGAGATGAAGTACACTCGTGCTGTCGTTAGGGAGACTCTGCGTTACCGCCCGCCCGTTATCATGGTTCCCTACTTGGTCAAGAAGGATTTCCCCATTACCGACTCCATCACCGTCTCGAAGGGCTCAATGATCATTCCATCGGTGTGGCCTGCCACCCACGACCCAGAGGCATATCCTAATCCCGACTCCTTCGACCCGGACCGCTGGATCACCGGTGATGCCGAAAAGCAAGCCAAGAACTTTTTGGTTTTCGGTACCGGTCCCCACTATTGCCTGGGTCAAACATATGCTCAGCTGAACTTGATTGCAATGATTGGAAAGGCCAGTCTGGAAATGGATTGGAAGCACGCCCCCACTCCTCAGTCTGAGGACATCAAGGTGTTTGCCACTATTTTCCCTGAGGTATGATCTTCATCCACTTTTCTGTCTGCTATGCACTCTAACTCTGTTTTAGGATGATTGCCACCTCACATTCCGTCCTCGTGCGTGATCTCTCATCTCTCAAGCGATCTAGCCTTGACGTGTCGGTCGAAGCCGTAAGCAACACTGCATTCGTTTGCATCTGCGAAGCATGAACGGCCAATTGACGATCATCTGGCGTCTGTTTCTATCCTGGAGATAGAGTGATGAGGACATTTTTCTTCCATTCAATTGTTCTATTATTCCATACAAAAGTCACTGGGTCTATCAAATTGCGGAAGAATGGCGGGAATGGAGATGTTCAGCATTCTTCTTGACGAACCATGCTTATCCCAGGGCTCAAGAAGTCCCGAAGGTATATGATATGACGCGATTCATGCAGAATCGCCTGCTTCAGTCAGAAAGCTGAGGCAATGGCATGTTTAGATTATGCTACTTAATAATATTAATTATCCAGATTCTTCGTTCTTGTCATTTTTGGTTCCGAGCACTCTCGCGCTCAAGGCGTATTTGATTGTAAATAGATTTTATCTACATATGTATAGGTTTCTATTGTCAATGCTGATTGTCTTTTTCAGACCAACCACCAAATTCAGTAGCCTGTTTAGCATGATAGGTGCCTTGGATGATGAGCTGTGCGGCGAGTTACAAGCGACAGGCATTGGTCGATTCAATATCGAAGCAAGTGCACAGGAAGTCTCCAATGCTAAGTTAAACCTACTATTTTGGTACTGCTGCTAGCTTAGACGTTCGTCCATCCACCTTTCGTCCTACGTACACTTTACGTTGGTGTTAGTAGCCTCGGGTAGCAGTTGTGCTGACAGTATATATCTTCATTTGCGTACTACATATGAATTCAATGCCGTCGACAATGATGACATCCAGGAATCCTGCCACAAGACAATACAAACACTCACCCCGGGAAGTAACGATTATAAAGACTGGAATCAAAACAAATGCTGTTTTACATCCTACTACTTCCCTACAACAATTCATCTGAGCCGAGCGAGATTCTGGGTCTGAATCGGAAGGCGGTGATCTTGCCGACGATTGACATCACCGACCGAAGCCGCCGCAAGAGACCCGAGCTACACAGGCCTACATCAATCAGATAGCTTCATCTTACACATCCGGATATCTATCTCCGCGAGTCAGCTTGGGAGTCAGTTGATTGTCCGTTCGGTAAGCTTATATTTATTTGTCTGTGATTCCTCTTCTGGGTGTGCAACAATCCCCAAGCGAGGAACCACCCCAGAGAACTTCTCTATCAGCGCAGAGAGCCACCGCTAACAGCCATCTCAAGACAAGAGATCACTACGATCATGGCCTCGGTACTCTCAATGCGGCGTCCCATCGCCGCTCTCGCAGCACGTACTGCAAAGCAAACCCCACAGAAAGCTACCCCCCACGCCGCCGTAACGACCTTTCTGTCGTCACCAGCCCGCCCCCGAACCTACTCTACAGCGCCGAGGCCTCAAACCGCAAGGCTCGCGCTCGCATCGAGCAATAAGATCCAGCAGCATCTCCCACACCGGCAGCAGACAATTCGCCGCATCAACCAAGCTACAGCCCAGCCGCCCCGAAGCTGGAAGTTCGAAGACGTATGCCCTCCCCCACCTCAACAACCGCTGCACCACCAGACTCAACGCTAACAATGACTTGTACATGCGCTACAGATCAACGCCGCCCTCCCATCCGACCCTAACGGACCCCCATCACCCCCAGCAAGCCCGCAAAGGAAACTCATCCTCGTGGACGTCCGCGAGCCGGTGGAACTCACCTCCACCGGCATCATCCCCACCGCCGTAGCCGTCCCACTAGCCTCGCAGCCCGATGCGCTCTTTCTGACGCCGGACGAGTTCGAGACCCGCTTTGGATTCCCTAAGCCTGGGATCCAGGAAGAGGGGGATATCGTCTTCTACTGCAAGGCGGGCGTGAGGGCGAACACGGCGGCGCAGCTGGCGGTGCAGGCGGGGTATAACCCGGACAGAATTGGCGTGTATGAGGGGAGTTGGTTGGACTGGGCTGATAAGGGAGGGAGAGTGGAGAAGTGGGAGGGGCCCGAACATGAGTAGGGTGTAGTATGTAGTAGTAGACTGTAGTGATGCCGATGTACTTTGGCTTATCCTGTCAAGATACTGTATATAGTGGTTCTGATGAGCTGTCTACCAAGCTGCGATTGATCACTGACTAGATATTGTTGCAATGTAGGCCCTAGGAGGGATTGTCGATCTACTTTCGAAAGATACGTCCTATGCACTTTTTGATACTATGGATAAGATAAATGGAGCGGGATTCATTCAAAAAGGAAATATCATTATAACAGAAACATGGCAAGATACAGACCACATAAACTCATGTCATATACAGGCATATATTGCTTTTGGGCAATCAATGCCGTCGTCTTTCTTCATGCAAGTCTAGCACTTTTTGACTTTTTTTCTTCCTGCGGAGATCATCGCGCTTTGTTGATGAGGTAAAATCAAAGCCTCCCAGATTGAGGAAGCAAATGCTATTTGTCACAAGTACAAATAGCCTCCTTTGAAATACCACCCCGAAACATGCTGCCTACAATGATGCCGTCTGTGCCCGTAGTTGCCATCTCACCATGCCTGATAACCTCAAGCAATCAGGAGTATGTGCGGATTGTGGGCTTCCAGCAGGAGACCGTCACGCCTTGGACGAATTGAATCAAGGAATGTCAAACACGGGCTTGAGCTTCTTGATAAGAGCCCATTCCTCCATCGATACGTCGGAACGGTAGAACTCCTTGAGGGTGTCGATACTGGCACGGGAAATGTGCGAGTAGAGGGTGTCCTTCTCTTCCAACTGACGGCCGTACATAGGCTGGTTGGCTCCTTCGATCTTGACAGCGACGGAAGGCTGGCCCTTCTTACAAACCTGGATAGGCTTGTGGTCACGCTCAATAGACACACTGCATGGACTTGATTAGCAAATAGAGTTGTCAAATCAGGGTCAAAGTAAACTTACACTCTGCCGAGATCGATGATCTCCTTAGCACCGGTTGTGGGGTTGGTCTTCACAGCGGAAATTGGCGTGTGCATTCTCAAGCTACCTTCAATAACATCCAGACCAATGACAATGGGGTCCTTCTTGTTGAAGACAGCAACGGGCCTGAGCACACAAGGGAAGACAGCGAGGAGCTTGCTCTCTTCCTTTCTCTTCTCCGTCAACTCGGCCATGTGCTTGGTGAAGTCATCAAACAGGTGGTAGATAATGTCGGCCGTGAAGATCTTGACGCCGACTTCTTCGGCGTACGCAGCCGCTTCCTTGTCAACCTTGACATCGAAGCAAAGCATGACAGCGTACTCCTTTGCCTTTTCCAACATGGTACCACACATCATCACATCACGCTTGTAGACAGGACCGATGGAAATGTTGGCAACAGGGATCTTGGAGACACGCAGGAACTCGAGCAGAGCCTCGAGAGAACCAAGGGTAGAAGCCTGGACACTGACACCACGCTGGTCACGGGAAACCTTGCTCAGCAGGTTCTCCAGATCGGACATGACTTCTTCCTCGATATCCTCCTCGTCGTCATCAGGTCCAACAACCATCAACCGCGAACCTGCGATGGCATGCTCGAGGTCGTTCGCAGCGATCTTGACACCAAGAGCGGCCTTGACCTCCTTGTTGTGAACATACTGCGACTTGAGACGGAGTTCCTTAAGGGGAGCTGGTGTCAGCAATGCTCGAATATTGGTCGCTATAGGGCCGTTTAGACCGCAGAGCACGATCCGATCACCCTCGCGGAGGATACCGTTCGAAAGAACAACATCAATGGTGGTACCAAGACCCTCAATAACCTTGACCTCGAGAACAGTACACTCAACTTCGGACAGGTACATGAGCGAGTTGGTCATACGCTCCTGAGTCAGGGTGGTCAAGAGCTTCAACATGTCGGGGATACCTTCACCGGTGTGAGCGGAAGTGGGAACCAAGGAGACATTGCGGGCCATGGACTTGTTCTCGTAGAAGAGCTCGGCGTTGAAACCTTGCTCGGCGAAGAGAACCTTTGTGCGCTCAAGACGGGTGCGGAATTCGTTCTGGACACCCTTGCTCTGCATGGCTAAACTGTCCTGGAAGCCGTTGTTGTCGATCTTCTTCCAGCCATAGAGACGGTCAATCTTGTTCAGGGCAACAATGAAAGGAGTCTTGCGATCCCGAAGCAATCTCATGGACTCCAAAGTCTGAGGCTCGAGACCGTGCATGATATCGACCACCAGAATTGCGATATTACAGAGAGATGAACCTCTCGAACGCAAGTTGGAGAAAGACTCGTGACCAGGGGTATCGATGACCAGCAAACCGGGAATCTTGAACTCAAACTTGCCGTCCTTGTTCACCACAGCGGTCTTCTGGCGCAAAGCGTCCACGGGGAAGTATGTAGCACCAATCTGCTGGGTAATACCACCAGCTTCGCCCTCTTGCACGTTCGTCTGTCGGATCTTATCCAGTAACTTGGTTTTACCGGTATCGACGTGTCCAAGAATACAGCAAATAGGAGAACGCAGATTGTCCTTCGAACGTGCGGCCAATGCTTCCTCATGCTGTTTCTTCCTCCGCTCGGCAGCTTCGGCCTTTCTTTGAGCAATAGCCTTCTGCGTCGCAGACTGCTCCTCATCTTCTGACTCAGATTCCGAATCTTCATCCGAATCTTCTTCGGATTCGGACTCATCCACCTCGGCCTTCTTTTGGGGTGCAGCCGCGGGCTTGGCTGCGCCGTTTGTGGCCGGCTTCCCCTCCTCGTCCTCAGAAGGAGCATCCCAGCTGTCCTTCACGTCTTCTTCGGCCTCAGCAGCCTTCTCCCAGTCATCCACTTCGCTCTCCTCGTCAGCAGCAGCAGCGGCGGCGGCGGCGGCAGCAGCCTCGGCCTCAGCCTTAGCCTTCTTCTCTTCTTCCTCCTTCCTGCGCCGTTCCTCCTCCTCACGTTGAGCGCGAGCACGGGCAGCAGCAGCTTCAAGGTCCTCCTCTTGCTTCTTGGGGCCCTTGCGCTTCCTGTTGTCGTACACGGGTTTCTTCTTCTCGACTCCCGGCTCCTCGAGACCAGCAACCTTACCCACACCGGCTGCAAGCATCTGCTTCATGCGAAGTTCATTGCGCTCCTTTGCTTCCCTCTGGGCCTTGGTGAGAAGCTTGCCTTCTCTTCGGAGCTGCTCCTTCTTTTCCCTCTCCTTCTCCTTCTTCCGCTGGCGAGCTTCTTCCCTCTTCTTCTCTTCCTCTGCTTCGCGGCGCAGTCTCTCCTCCTCCGCGGCCCTTTCTTCAGCTAGACGTCGCTCTTCCTCTTCACGTTGTTTCCGGAGAGCCTCCTGTTGCTTCTGAATAGCGGCCAGATGGGCGGGGAGCTTCTTCTTCTTGCCAGGCGCCTCAGGAGCGGCGGCAGCAGGTGTCGGAGCAGCAGCGGCGGGTGCAGCCTCTTCTTTCTTCTCAGCCTTGGCAGGCTCGGCCTTGGGCTCGGGAGCAGTAGACTTCTTCTTCATGGCCTATACAGATATTCTAGATCAGCACCGTACCAACACACCTTGCAAGGGGACAACGGTGCACCAGACACATCACATACCTGCTCCCTCTTACGCTGCTTCTCTCTCTCCTTCTTTTCCCTCTCCTTCTCCTTCTTACTCTTCACGCGGATCTCGCCATCGCCTTCGGGTGAAGCCGGGGCCGGAGGTGTAGCCTTAGCAGGCTTCTGGTTCTTCTTTCCGGCGAAAACATCCTCCTCGTCGAATGTACCTTCCTCAGGCTGCTTGCTGGAGAAATCGGCATCCCCATTCGCCTGCTCTGTCGCATCCTCGCCCTCGACGAAATCGTTGATCGGCTTGCCCTTTTTGGCCTTCTTGTTCTTGTTCTTTCTCAGAGCAGCGAGGAGACCGCCACCCATGCCATCCTCTTCGGGAGCGGCGTCCGCAGGAGTCTCCTCCGTAGGCTGCTCACTGACGGGGGCAATGCTTTCTCCCAGCTCGGCCTCCCAGTCGTCATCCTGCTTTCTGTTTCCCTTCTTCTTTGGCGCCATTTTCTAGGTTGCAACGATAGGACCGATCGGTGTAGTGAATGAGATAATCGATCAAAATCACCTAAAGACCTAAAATGTTAGTATAAAGGCGATCCTCTTCGTTGCAATAATCGTAGACGAGCTGTGGCGGGCACACGAACAATGTCGAAGTCTTCGGGCTACGATCTGCGGCAACCGATAGAATCTGATCAAGAGGAGCGGCGGCGAAAAAGATGGCCGGCCTGAAAATCTCCTCAACGATAGAAATGGAAAAGAGAGACGGTGAGAAAGGTACAGAAAACCACTTTTTCCCCCCTCTTCTGGTGGTTGATAAGACTCGAGCGGCGGTCGGTGCTCTTGGAGAAATACTAATAAGAATTTTGGGTTGGTTTGGTGGGGACTCCAGTTATGCGAGCCGATTCGCCGCCAGTTGGTGGCACGACACTGCCATTACTCTGTTACTCGCCACCATCAAAAGACAGCCAGCAGAGTACCTATAGTTACACTTTGTCTCTGAAAGTTCGAGTCTCCTTTATTTAAGACTAATACGATTTGACATACTCAGGACTAGTTTTCTAAGGGTAATAAGTTGGAATCTATCTATGATCTTCATACATCAAACCATGAGAATGCGTTCATTGCTACTAATACACAAGAAGACGATTAGCGCTCTCCTCTCAACAATTCAAGAAAGATCATAGCTGCATGCATTGAATCTGCCGTCTGTCATATTCAGAACTCCACATGAAGGGCCTTCTCCAACCATCTCATGACCTTTTCGACTTGGTCAGGGGATTCTCCCAGCAGATTGTTGGACAGCTCGGTGAATAGCTCCAGAGTGGCTTGAGCAGTGCCGTTTTCTGGAAAGGCTGCGTCTTCAAAGTCCCGGGTCGTCAACATTTTTGTTAAATAATCCGAACCACGCATCACGAGGCGATTCAGTATGTCGCCGTCGATGTGCATGTGTGAAGGCTGGGGCTCTGCGACACCACTCGTCGCCGGGTTGCGCCTTCGTTTCCTTTTGGGTGTGAAAGGGCATAGTATTGGATCTCTGATACAGAGATT